GGGGCGTGTCGCTGCTGCTCGGGCTACTGCCCGCGATGGGCTGGAATTGTCTGGGTCGCCTGGACGCCTGCTCCACCGTCCTGCCGCTCTACGCCAAGGCCTACGTGCTCTTCTGCGTGCTGGCCTTTGTGGGCATCCTGGCCACCATCTGCGTGCTCTACGCACACATCTACTGCCAGGTGCGAGCCAACGCGCGGCGCCTGCGGGCGCGGCCCGGGTCTGGCGGAGGCACCTCGACCCGCGCGCGCGGCACGCCGCGCTCGCAGGCGCTGGTGCGCACGCTCAGCGTGGTGCTCCTGGCCTTCGTGGCCTGTTGGGGCCCTCTCTTCCTGCTGCTGTTGCTCGACGTTGCATGCCCCGCTCGCGCCTGTCCCGTGCTCCTGCAGGCCGACCCCTTCCTGGGCCTGGCCATGGCCAACTCGCTTCTGAACCCCATCATCTACACGTTCACCAATAGCGATCTGAGCCATGCGCTCCTGCGACTCATCTGCTGCGGCCGCCGCTCCTGCGGCCGAGGACCAGGGGGCTCCCCAAGGTCCGGGAGCGCGGCTGGGGTTTCCAGAAGCCCGTGCAGGTGCTTGCCCCTGGGCCTGGACGGCAGCACCAGCCGCTCGGAGCGCTCGTCGCCCCAGCGGGACGGGCTGGATATCAGCGGCTCCGCGGGCAGTCCCGGCGCGCCCCCGGCCACAGACTGACGCCCTCTGCCCACCATTGTCGTCCCCAGAGCTGTTCTGCAAATTTTTCTTTTTAAATAATGGATTTTGTGGGAAATGCAGACGAAGATGTTGGAGGTGGAAAAGACGCACGGCAAATGTATTTACTGACACTAAACCCCCAAACAGCGAACAAATGCACAAAATGCTTGCCCTCGTGGAATTGATGCTGTGGTGAGCGACACAGACAATAACTGAGTGACGAGATAATGGAGATCATTTTCAGTGACAATACAGTGAAGCGATGGTGGTCGGCGGGAGGCCTCTCTGTAGAGGTGGTGACACATGATGTGAACTGATATGTCATCGTCCTGGAAACACTTGAAGGAAGAGCATTTCAGGATGCGGGGACAGTAAGTGCAAAGGCCCTGAGGCTGGAATGTGCCCAGGTGTTCTAGGAAAAGCAAGGATTCCAGTGTGGCTGGAGCAGCGATGGAGGGGGAGAATGGGAGGGGACACGGACACAGAGATGACGGGCAGATTGGGCAGGGCCTTGTGGGCCATGGAGAGGATTTGACTTTTGCTGAGTGAGGTGGGAGCCATGGAGGGTTGTAAGCAGAGGGGTGTGTCCTGATTCAGGTGTCCACAAGCACCCTGTGGCCTCTGAAAGGCACGTTTGCAAGCTGGAATAGGATGAAGGGGACTGCACTGGCCCAGAGCAGGGATGATGGGAACTCTGACTATGCTCAGACCAGGTGGATTCTGGATGGATTTTTAGGGCAGCAGACAGAATTACTGAGGAATTAGGTGTGAGAGTAGGGGAAAGAAAATTGTCAAGGACACAACCAAGGCAGGACACGCCAAAATTTGACTCTGAGAGACTCAGCCTCATTCTCACATCAACATTACTTTGAGCGCGGTCAGATCCTTCAAAAACAATAAAAATATAAGAAAACAATAAGAACAATTACACGTTTTATCCCTGGCTAGAACCCTTCAGTCCTAGGCCCAGGACACACCTTTTTATCACCCTTACTGCAACCTTGCAAGGTAGGTTTTCTCACCCTCGCTTGACAAATGAGGAAACTCCAGTGTGTACCTTGCTCCAGTGTCCAAGCCAGATTACTAGCCCAGGCTGTCAGGCCCCCAGGCTGGAGTAGGCAAAGCCTGGTATCTGGCCCCTCCGGAGGGTCTGGCCACTCCCTCCCCCGGGGGTCTGCATTCTTGGCTTGGGGCGATAACAGGGCTCCGTTTGTGCCCATAAAAGGCCCAGGCGCGCTGGACACGGCTCTAGGCATGTCCCCAGGCGCATTCCTGACCCCTGCACGGCAGGGATGGTCCGGAGGCGGGGCGGGGGGCGTCTGGCTTTGGATTCAGACTTCGGCTCGCCACCTTCCGGGGGACTTTGGAACTGCAGGTAGCCGCAAACAATGGTGTTACAGTGGCCACTGACCTAGTCTGGGGGACTCCTGACCGAGCCTGGGGACCCAAGTCTCTGCGGGCCACACGCACGGGAAACCATCCTATTTCCCAGGATAAAAACACACTCAATCCTGGGGTCACTCTCCCAGGTTGCTCCCAGGACTGGACATAATTCCCTGCTCTGCTCGGCACCCCTAGCCCTTCCAGACGAACTCAGGCTACCTTGGACACATCACCCCATGGTTCTGTTCTTCGATGTTGTGATGGTAGGGGATTTATAGATTTATTTTATGAAATTCAGAAAGTACCCAGTTCTCCTTCCCTATCACGATTGCTCTCTGGATTCCTGGGGAACTTCCAGAGGTATTCTGTAGATTAATGAGCCAAAATGTAAATACCCCTCCTATCTTTTTACACAAATTCAGCACTGATCTGCATCTTGTTTTGTTCACTTAATAGTGTATCTTGAAAATTGTTGCTCGTTCGCACATTTTTTTTTTTGTTACCGTCTTGCGGTCTTAATCTGCTCCAGCTGCCATAACATACCATAGATAGCTGGTCATTAGCTCAGTTGGTTAGAGTGTGGTGCTGATAACACCAAGGTCCAGGGTTCAAACCCTGTACTGGCCAGCCACAAAAAAAAAAAAAAGAGAGAGAGAGAGAGAGAGAGAAATAGAGAGTAAAAAAAAAAACGAAAAACAAAAAACAAAAAACAAATACCATAGACTAGGTGGCTTAAACCACAGAAATTTCATTCTCATAGTTCTGGAGACTAGGAAGTCCAAGATCAGAACAATCAGGCTCTGGTGAGGGCTCTCTTCCTGGCTTGCGGATGGCCGCCTTCTGACTGTGTCTTCACATGGCAGAGAGAGAGACAGAGAGCAAGCTTTCTGTTGTCTCTTCTTATAAAGTTACTAATTGCATCATAAGGGCCCCACCTTCAGGATCTCATCTAAACCTAACTACCTCCCAAAGACCTCATCTCCGAACATCACATTGGTGGTTAGGGCTTCAACATATGAATGGGGGAGGGAGGCACAGTTCAGTCCATAGCACTTGTTCTTTTTTTTCATATTTTAAGAAATTGAGGGCTGGCCGGTTGGCTCAGTTGGTTAGAGCACAGCCTTATAACACCAAGGTCAAGGGTTCAGATCCTGGTACCAGCCAGCCACCAAAAAACAAACAAAAAACGGAGGTAAATATCCATACAGTAAATGTCTTGCTTCTTTTAACCGGCTGCATAGTATTTTACAGGATGGATGTGCCACCAGTCATTTATTAAGTCAGGGTCCTATGGAGGGACTTGTGGGTTGAGTCCAATATTTGGCCACGATATACAGCACTGCAAGGCATGTCTGTGTACGCACAGCCTCTTGTACGTGTGCGAATGTACCTCAGGTAAATATCTACCAGCGGCACGGCTGGCTCACAGGGCCTGGAAGTTTCATTTTGAGAGATAGAAGTTGTCTTCCCGAACGTGCCAGGAAGGTGCTTGTTACAGCCTCAGCCATGCGGCGTATTCGCCGATCGTGCAAGCGCGCCCCCTCTGGAGGTGTTCGGAACTGCAGCTACAAGCAAAAGAATGCGGGAAACCAGCCCAGCCAGGGGTGCGGGTTTAATCCCAGACCCTGAGCTGGGACACTGATTTCCCCAAATTCACCGGGCTCCAGGAACCCTTTCTTAGACCAATATCTATTCAGCCTAGCGTTTCCTTTTATTATTCTCTTTTCATTTCGATGGACTCTTTAAAATAAATACATTTATTTAATAGTTACCTTTAGGGCCGGCCCGTGGCTCACTCTGGAGAGCGTGGTGCTGACAACACCAAGGCCACGGGTTCGGATCCCATATAGGGATGACCGGTTAGCTCGTTGGGTGAGCGTGGTGCTGACAACACCAAGTCAAGGGTTAAGATCCTCTTACCGGTCATCTTAAAAAAAAAAAAAATTAAAAAAAGTTAACTTTACATCATAAACGGTACAGATGGCAAATCGGTATCCCTAGCCATGCAAAATAGCGATTGTTCACGTCTCTTGGGCGCTAGCTTTCGCATTTAGTCCTCATGATAACCTAGCAGGTAGGTGCTACCACTGTTACCATTTTCAGAGAGGAAACAAGCCCAGAGGGGTTAAGTAGCGGCCCACGGGCACAGAGCTGGCGAGAGGCAGACCTGGGTTTCTGACCCCCCCCAGGAGAGGGCCGCGCGCCTCTTGATGGGAGATAACTGAAAAATAAAGACAAGGAAAAACCAACTATGTAGATCATTCTAGCTGGATCCTGCGGCCGCCGGACCGCGAGGCCTGCGATGTGCGGAGATAAAGGGAGAAAAGCAGGTCTTGGAAAGTAGTCAGCGCGGAGATGCCCTGCGACGAAACCGGGCCGATGGAAGGGACAGTGCGAAGGGGGGCCAGGCAGAGGCTCCTCGCTCCTCGCCGACGGGCTCCCGGCACCTGCGGGAAGGGCGGGGAATCGCGGCTCTTTCCCTGCCGCGCCCTCTCCCCGCCTCCTCCCCGGACGTCCCGAGGCCGCCCCCCACCCGACGGCCGCTACCTCGCAGGCCACACCGCCCCGGAGCCGAGGACCCCCGACGGCGAAAGCGCCCGAAGGTCTCCAACAGCGAAGATTAGGCAGGAGCAGCTCGCGATTCCCGGAAACGCGGCACGCGCGTAGCACCACCGCTGGAAGCCGTCGTCTTGCTGGGGGCATCCCCACCCCGCAAGTCACCTACGGAGGCGACGCGGGGGCCGAGGTGAGCGCGCAGGCGGTGGCTGCAGGGAAGGGACTTTCACCGGATCCCGGGCTCCGGCAAGGGCGCGCAACGCCTCGAACCCGGGGCTCTGAGAACACGCGGGTGGCTGCGCCCGGGGACGCGCTCTCCGCCCCGCCGCAGTGGCTGGCGTTGTGGTCGCCGCGCTGGAGCTGCGCAGCTTGGCGACAGCTAGCGGAGCCGGGGGATGGGGTGGGGAGCGGCCCGGTCCTGTCCTGTCGCCGCCGCCGGAGGACACGGGGACTTTTATTCTGACACGGTCGGCGCCCGGCTCTGCTTAGTCATGGTGACCTGCGCGCACTCCGCGCCTCCCCCCAGCGCGCGGCGATGGAGGCGCCCAGGCTCGGGCGGCGGAGGCGGAGCCCGAGCGCGGCCATGGCGGGGTGAGTGAGGCGGCCTGTACCCGGGCTGCGGGCACCGCGGGACCCCCAAGACTCCAGCACAGAAATCAGGGTCATCCTGAGAACCCAAGGAGGCCTGTCCTCCCAGGAAAGAGGCCTGTGCTCCTGCAGCCTCTAAAGAGCAGCTGTCAGACAGGAGGCATCTGGGGTGCTCAAAGCACTGGGGAGAAAGAAAAGCATGCAGGCCTTCCTCTCCTTTCTCCTGAATTAGACTTTTGCAGTGAGGCACGCATGCACACACACCTGTGCACTCAAACACACCCCTCCATGTGCACACACATACCCATGGGGGGTTCGGTCTCTGCTCTGGGGTTGGCAGCGAAGAGGCTGCGGCGGGGTCAGTGCCTCCCTTCTCCAGGCCTTCTTGGCGGCTCAGGCGGGGCATGCGCAGTCCCCCACTTGTCGCTTCGTGGGGGGGGACGGGGGGAGTGCCCGGTGCCCAGGCGGCACCGTTGACCGATTGGCCAAAGACCCAGAGGCAAGCCCGAGGCCTCGGCACGGGAGAGGGGGCCGAGCGGCGCTGGGCCCGGTGGAGGAGGGCGCTCCGGAGGCACAGCAGAGTGGCAGCCAGCCAGCCACCGCCTGCTGACCCCTGCTTGGTGCCGCCCTGGGAGGCACAGAGGAGGGTAGGCCCAACGCTGACCTCCAGGGCTCTCCCTGCCCTCTGCTGGGGGCGAGAGTCCATCTCTCAACAAACAGGCCAAGGAGATCTTTCAGTTCCTGAGAGTGCTGGGATGAAAAGGAAAGAGGGAGGGGGTGACTCCGGGCTGAGCCTCAAAAAGATGAGACGCAGAACCTGCGGAGCCTCTTGCAGATCCTCACTCCCCACCCCCTTTAAAAACAGAATTCATCCCCTGGCCCTGCAGTCTCCAGGGGTTTCCATGAACCCCTTCTGTAGTCATTCGCTCTCACTACACTCCTCCCGGATTATCCTGATTCTCTTCTGCCCCTGAGCCTTTGCACTCACTGTTCCCTCTGCCTGAAACCCCCAACCCCTTCATGCACTCGTCCTTGTCCCTGCTGCAACCTCACCTTGTCAGGCCTTGACTACCCAGCTTGAAGTAACTGCCACGAAGTCACACTGTCACAGTGCTGTGGCAGTTTTCTTCATTACCCTGACTTCGACGCATCTTGCTTATTTTAGTTTATTTATGGTCCTGATTTCCCCAGTTATCTACTCCAGGGGGCCACGGTTTTTGTCTGTCTTGCTCACTGCTGTGTCCCCAGTGCCCAGAACAGTGCCCTGCACACAGTAGGCACTCAGTAAACGTTGGTGAGGTGAATGAAGGAATGAGCTTGACGTGGTTTAGGAAGGGACGGGCCGCCAGATGGCTGGAAGTGTGAGTGAAGGGAAGAAGTGGGCAGGGGCTGTCTGCTTAGGGCTTTGCAGGCCACTGAGGAGTTCGGTTTTACTCCTAGCACCATGGGAGGTGTTGGGAGATTCTGAGCAGGGGAGGGTCATGATCTGACCTGTGTTTTAGGATGGGCCCCTGGGCTGGTGAGGTCAGGGGGAAGTTAGGAAGTACAAATAGATCTCACTTCACCCGGTTTGCTTGGGAAGGAAACTGACCTAGAAATCACTTTATCTTACAAAAGGAGGCCTGGAGGGTACTGACCTAGTCCCAGGCCCTGCTCCCATCCCTGTGTTCTCCCTCCAGGCCCCTGAGTGCCAGTGGTGGTGTTTTCCCTTGTCGCCTGGAACCCCATGCAGCTGGAACCCAGGCCTAGCGGGGCCAGGGCCCGCAGCCGATTCCTGCCCCTGCAGCCACAGCGCCCTGAGGGGGCAGGGGACACGGTGATGTACGCCTCCACTGAGTGCAAAGCTGAGGTGACACCCTCCCAGCATGGCAACCGCACCTTCAGCTACACACTGGAGGATCACACCAAGCAGGCCTTTGGTATCATGAATGAGCTACGGCTCAGCCAGCAGCTATGTGATGTCACCCTGCAGGTCAAGTATGAAGATGCGCCAGCTGCCCAGTTCATGGCCCACAAGGTGGTGCTGGCTTCATCCAGCCCCGTCTTCAAGGCCATGTTCACCAATGGGCTGCGGGAGCAGGGCATGGAGGTGGTGTCGATTGAGGGCATCCACCCCAAGGTTATGGAGCGGCTCATTGAGTTCGCTTACACAGCTTCCATCTCCATGGGTGAGAAGTGCGTGCTCCACGTCATGAACGGTGCCGTCATGTACCAGATTGACAGTGTTGTCCGCGCCTGCAGTGACTTCCTGGTGCAGCAGCTGGACCCTAGCAATGCCATTGGCATCGCCAACTTCGCCGAGCAGATTGGCTGCGCCGAGCTGCACCAGCGTGCCCGCGAGTACATCTACATGCACTTTGGGGAGGTAAGCGAGGACATGGGGCTAGGGGACAGTGTCAGACAGAGGACCAGGGACAGATGGGAGGTCATCACTGTCTGCCCTTGAGATGTGAAGAGTCAAGGTAGGGAGTTGGAGAGAAGTGGGGTTCTGAGCTCCTAGTCCACACATCTGGGGAGACACTGGTTAACAGCTGGGCAAGGTGAGGTCTTCGTGGGTCTCCAGGCTTCCTGGTTTCTGTGGGGACAGAATGAAGCAAACATGACTGTAGCCAAACCCTGGGGTGCACTGGGCAGGGCCCAGCCTTTCAGGCAGTCAGAACATATTTCTTGAACACCTGTGACAGGCTGCAAACTGCCAGTCTGACAGTTGAGTTGTGTTTTCTTTGATCTAAGCAGTGTTGTCTTTATACTGTTTTTGGTTTCGTTTTCATTTTCCAGTGGAGGAAGTTGTTAAGAGAAAAATCATAGGAGGGTTCTTAAAAAAAAAAATCACAAGAATGAGCCCAAATTCGTGGGTGGCAAAAATTTGAGATGATAATAAGAAAAAGTGTTTAGTGAGCATTTGCAGTGGGCCAGGCCCTGGTCTAAGTAATTTACATCCTTTAAATCATCAACTCTTCCCAACCATCTGATGAGGAAGTGTCACCTTTGTGCTAGGGCAAGCAGGGCCATGCCCCTGGCCCCAAGCCTTAGGGAATCCCATGATTTGGAGTGCTTCCTGGAAATTTTCTAAGTCCTCGGTGGTTGGGACCAGCTGGGGTGGATGCTACCCTGGTCCCTATTTCTCTACTTCAGGGGTAGATGCTTTTCTCCCTGCTGCAGCACTACATGTGGGGTTGACCAGATGACCCGAGGAGCTCTAGAATTAGTCTCAGAGTCCATGGCTTCCAGGAAGGCGGTCCAGCAAGTAGGTCCCTCCCACTGGCCTGCACAACATTTCTTTCCTGAGATTACTTGAGCTTGGGGTACCAGAACTGAAATGGTTTCTCAAGACAGGTGCCTGATGAGAAATATTTATCTGGGGCCCTTTATTTTATTTTATTTTACTTTTTTCCTTTTTGTCTTTTTTACTGACTGGTAACGGGATTGCAACACTCGGTGTCACGCCCGTGCCGGGGACCGGCAACGGAACCACAACCCTTGGTGTTGCGCCCGCACCACGCTCAGCCAGTGAGCGGGAACCGGTCTCCACATGGGATCCGAACCCTCGGCGGGAGCGCCTCCGCGCTCCCAAGCGGCGCACTCTCCTGTGCGCCACCAGGCCGGCCCAAGGGGCCCTTTATTTTTATTTTTAGCAGCTGGCCAGTACAAGGATCGAACCCTGGACATTGGTGTTAGTACCACACTGTAACCATCTGAGCTAACCAGCTAGCCTGTCTGGGGCCCTGTATAGCCTAGGAGTAGCCCTGCTAGGAGGTGGCTATTAAGACAATCCCCCTTTTACAAAGGAGGGAAACCAAGGCATGGGGCATTTCAGAGGTCCCATAGCTAGGGGCTGGCTGTTTAGCTCAGTTGGTTAGAGCACAGTGTTTCAGCACCAATGTCAAGGGTTCGGATCCCTGTACCTGCCAGCCACCAAAAATACAAAACCAAAACAAAACATAGCTAAAAGTGATAGGGCCAAAATTACAACTCAGGATTGTTTCTTCAGAGCTGGCACTTCTTTTTTTCAGAATATTCTGTTGCTATTGCTTTTTTCCTTTTTCGTCAGCCTGCCCCTCTGGAAAATGTAATTTCAATTAAAAAAAAAAATAGGTAACACTTTTTGGGCGGCCAGCTGGTATGGGGATCTGAACCCATGTCCTTGGTGTTACAACACCACACTGTAACCAACTGAGCTAACCAGCCAGTCTGGTAACACATTCTTATAATTCAAAAAACAAATGACACCAAAACATACATTGCGATTTTGCCCATTTACCTGAGTATGTACTACAGTCATGCGTTGTGTTGCTTAACAATGGGGACACGATCTAAAAAATGTGTCCTTTGGCAATTTCATTGTTGTGCAAACATCACAGTGTACTTATACAAACCTAGATGGTATAGCCAACTACACACCTCCAGTTGCATTGTAATCTAATGGGACCACTGTCATATATGTGGTCCATCACTGACCAAAACATCACTATGTGGCACATAACTGTGCATGCCTGGCACATGGTATTAACTTATTTAATCCTCACAACTTATGAGGTTCATATGATTGAAATCCCCATTTTACAGATGAGGAAACTGAGACTATCAGAAACAGGTTGAGTGACTTGCTTAAGGTCATACTGCTTGATAAGGGGTGGGGGAGACACATGGAGCCAACCCATCACACTAATGTCCCCCTGCAGGTAGCCAAGCAAGAGGAGTTCTTCAACTTGTCCCACTGCCAGCTGGTGACCCTCATCAGCCGGGATGACCTGAACGTGCGCTGTGAGTCTGAAGTCTTCCACGCCTGCATCAACTGGGTTAAGTACGACTGCGAGCAGCGGCGTTTCTATGTGCAGGCACTGCTGCGTGCAGTGCGCTGCCACTCGCTCACGCCACACTTCCTGCAGATGCAGCTGCAGAAGTGTGAGATCCTGCAGTCGGACTCCCGCTGCAAGGACTACCTGGTCAAGATCTTCCAGGAGCTCACCCTGCACAAGCCCACGCAGGTGATGCCCTGCCGGGCGCCCAAGGTGGGCCGCCTCATCTACACAGCTGGCGGCTACTTCCGCCAGTCCCTCAGCTACCTGGAGGCCTACAACCCCAGTGATGGCACTTGGCTGCGGTTGGCGGACCTGCAGGTGCCACGGAGTGGCCTGGCAGGCTGTGTGGTGGGCGGGCTGCTGTATGCCGTGGGCGGCCGGAACAACTCACCTGATGGCAACACCGACTCTAGTGCCCTGGACTGCTACAACCCCATGACCAACCAGTGGTCGCCCTGTGCCCCCATGAGTGTGCCACGTAACCGCATCGGGGTTGGGGTCATCGACGGGCACATCTATGCCATTGGCGGCTCCCATGGCTGCATCCATCACAACAGTGTGGAGAGGTGAGTGGCAGGGCCTGGAGGAGTGGGCTTTGCGGGTCCCACTACCGACAGGTCCCAAGCCATTGTGATCCGAGCATTCTGCCCAGTGTTGAATGCCCATCTTTTCTCCTTGCCTTCAGAAAGTGGAAGCTTCAAGGTGAAGCTAAACTCCTGGGAGACTTACGGTCAGTGACCTTGGATGATGGGTCTGGGGCTGTTAAGTGCTTACAGGACTGTCACAAACCCATATGGCACCCTTGTACAGATTTGGGGAAAGTTCTGTCAGTTTAACTTAATATGCTAATTAAGTTAAAACATAACATCTCACTGCCATCTGTCCCCAAATTGTCATAATAAACAGATGTATGGGGTCTCTGACATAGAAGGTGCCCCTTTTTTTTTTTTTTTTTTTTTGTCTTTTTCCGTGTCCGGGATGTGTGGTCACCCCAGCTTTGAGCATTACATTTTGAGTGAAACCATCTTGGGCAATAGCCTAGTAAGAATTGGGGTTCTAGGGCCGGCCCGGTGGCGCACTGCTACAGTGCGCTGCTTGGGAGCGCGGTGGCCCTCCCGCTGAGGGTTCGGATCCCACATACAGACCGGTTCCCACTCACTGGCTGAGCGAGGTGCGGGTGTGACACCGAGGGTTGCGATCTCGTTGCTGGTCCCGGTCCGGTATGGGCGCAACACTGAGGGTTGTGATCCGTTGCTGGACATGAAAGAAAAAAAAAAAAAAAAAGAATTGGGGTTCTAGAGTCAAATTCCAGCTTTACTGCTTCCTTGGTGACACTGGATATATCATTTTACCTTTCTGTGCCTACGTCTTATCATCTGTGAAGTGGGGGAAAGTAATGGGGACCACCTGCCCACCAGGCTGGGTGGGGCTTTGGTAAAGTCACACACATAACAGTCAGCACAGAGCTGGTCAGTGGTGCGAATGAGCCACTGGGCTCCAGCAGACCCCTGTCTGTGGGCCTGTGACCTTGAACAATTGAGGTCTGTGAGCCTCAGTTTCCTCATCTGGAAAATGGAGTTGCTGATACCTCACGCCTTGGAGAATGGTTGTGAGGATTATAGAGGTCTAGTGTATAAGAGCTGCAGAAGGGCTGGCTGGTTAGCTGTGTTGGTTAGAGCTCAGTGTTGGTAACACCAAGATCCAGGGTTCAGATCCATGTACCGGCCAGCTGCCAAGAAAAAAAAGATCTAGCAGGGTAGGGGTCTGTACTAAGTGTTCCACGAAGGTCAGCTGTGATCGTTGTTGTCCCTGCTGTTGTTATGCCCTTGCAGGTATGAGCCAGAGCGGGACGAGTGGCACTTGGTGGCCCCAATGCTAACGCGAAGGATCGGGGTGGGAGTAGCTGTCCTCAATCGTCTGCTGTATGCCGTTGGGGGCTTTGATGGGACGAACCGCCTTAACTCAGCCGAGTGTTACTACCCAGAGAGAAATGAGTGGCGAATGATCACACCCATGAACACCATCCGAAGTGGGGCAGGTGGGTGGGGGCTGTGAGGAGGGGGCATCCAGGAAACGCCCTCCCCCCCATTTCGGGTGAAACTCGGCCAGGCCTGGGCCAGGCCTCCTGATTCAACCCTCAAGCCTGTGGCACACACAGGAGAGCTGTGTTCCAACAGCTTCCAAGCTTCTCTCTCCCAGTTCTATTTCCAAGGAGTCCCTCAGGTGCAGGGAGGGGAGAGGGAAGGGCTCCCCTATGAAGGCAATGGCTAAGGCCCCAGAGTTACCCTCTCTGCATGGTGCGGTTTAGGAGTCTGTGTCCTGCACAACTGTATCTACGCCGCGGGAGGCTACGATGGTCAGGACCAGCTGAACAGCGTGGAGCGCTACGATGTGGAAACGGAAACGTGGACTTTCATGGCCCCCATGAAGCATCGGCGAAGTGCTCTGGGGATTACTGTGCACCAGGGAAGAATCTACGTCCTCGGTGAGGCCCTGGGGTAGGGAGCTGGGTGGACAAGAGTCCTGACTAGCCCCATCTTTTAAGGACAGGTGGGTGGTTTGGCTGCAAATCTCTGTAAGAAATTTCCTCCAGGTTGCTTTTTTTTTTATTGGTGGCTGGCTAGTGCAGGGATTGACTGGACCTTGGTATTGCCAGCACCACGCTCCACCAACTGAGCTGACCGGCCAGCCCTCACTCCTCTGTCCCCTTTTCTCTCCCTGAAGGAGGCTATGACGGTCATACATTCCTGGACAGCGTAGAGTGTTACGACCCAGACACAGACACCTGGAGCGAGGTGACCCACATGACGTCGGGCCGGAGCGGGGTGGGCGTCGCTGTCACCATGGAACCCTGCCGGAAGCAGATTGACCAGCAGAACTGTACCTGTTGAGCCTCTTTTGTTTCTTGGGCAAAAAAATCACTGGTCTGACCAAGAGTGTTGTTTTTGTACAAAAACAGGGACGAAAGAAAAGGCGACAGCGGATACTCATCCTCCAGGAAGGGAGGCTGGGATGCCTCAGTGTTAACATGACAACTCTAAAGAAAAGAAGGCCAGAGTGGGGACCCGTGAGCCCCTCAGAGTAGTCCCAGGAATGTCCAAGACAACCTGCACAGCGGGGGTTTGGGAAGGCCTGGCTCCCAGGAGAGAGGTCCCCACACCCACTGGCTGGAGACGAAGCCTGAGTCCCACACCAGCCGCTGCCACCTCCTTTGGAGGTCAAAGCACGGGTGAGGTCAGTTTTTGTCCTGGTGTCTTTATGATTGGTTCCTGGACCCTGGGAAGGGGCCAAGTGAGGCCTCAGGGGTTGAGGCCCCTCTGAAGTGTGGTCCCCAGGGATGGGCCTGTATATAGAAGCCACTGGATATCTCTGCCCTGGACAGTCATTTTGTTGATAAGTAACCCTGTAACTTTCCAATGAAAATAAAAAACAAACTAACTAGTGTCTTCCACCTGGGCTCTCCGCTGGAGGTCTTAAGACGGGGACAGAAAGGGCTCGTCTCCTGAAAGGCACACCTGTCTTCGATTTAGGGCTTGTATTTGAAACCAGATTGTTATTTCTGCTTATCGCATTTGATATGTAGGCCATCTTTCTCCCCAGAGGCAAGCCACACAATTGTCTATCTTCTTCAGCTCCTTTGAAAGACTCCCTGAGGTTAATCTCATATATGCGGTGCAGTGTTTGTGTGTGTGTGTGTGTATTTTTTTTGTCTTTTGGTGACCAGCCCATACGGGGATCTGAACCCTTGACCTTGGTGTTAATGGAGCTAACTGACCAGCCTGCAGTTTACATTTTAAGGCAAACTATCTCCAACATGCTTTCCAAATTTGGTGAAATTCTATCTGGCCTTTTTTTTTTTTTCCTCCCATTTCTGACACATTCTAATATCTGGCCATTTTTATGTGCTGTGATAATACAGACTGAATCTTCGTTGTATTTAGGTGCCTGAGTATTAAAAGGACAAAGGGATTCCTGGGAAATGGAGCCACTTGGGAATTATCTTAGGCAAAGGGTTCAACACCCTGGTCCTTCCTAAACAATTTGTGCAGAGGAAACATGTGGCCTGGATTTTTTTTTTTTTTGGTGGCTGGGCAAGATGGAGGCCCAAACCCTTGACCTTGGTGTTACAACACTGCACTGTAATGGACTGAGCTAACCAGCCAGCTTGGATCTTTTTCTTACCAATCAACTATTTGTGCTATGGCTATGGAAAAGATGAATAAATGATGGTCCCAACTCTTGGGAAACCCACAGGTTCTCCCAGGTAGCTTAGGGAGGAAACATTTGGTTCCTTCTTCTGGGTGCCAGTGGGAACCTGGTGCCTCCATTTTTGCAGCCTCAGTCAGTTCACCTGGAGGCTGCGTTATTTGTGCCCAGGGGTTCCCTGGCCCTTGTCCTAACGTTTTGATGGAAAAAGAAAATAAGTCTATGTTGGCTGCATTGTATGGGTAGGGGAGGACTAGGAATCGTAAAGATCACTGTGGGTATGTCTTTTGGCATTTGCAAAGTGTTTCTGCACTTTATTTGATCCTCACCATAGTGCTGTGAGCTAGGAAGGGCAGGCCTGAACTCTAACAGAAGAAGTAGAGGTTCAGAGAAGTGACTTGCCCAAGGCCACATAGCCACTAAGTGGTAAAGTTCACATTCAGACTGTGGAACACACCAAAGCAGCCTGTCTCAGCCACAATACACTGTACAGTTGCATTTGTGAGAAGGGATATTCAAGAGGTCCCATGGAGCCAGTGTATGTAGCAGCAAAAGTTCCAGAAACAGCAATCTAATCTACAGTTGGGATTTATACGTCTGTGGTTGCCAGAAGACATGTAGCCTGTCCTGGGGTGGTGTTTCTTTTCAGAGGGGTTAGAGCCCTGGTCTTGAGATCAGGTTTATTTATTTATTTTTGGTTTATTTTATTTTATTATTTTTTTCTTAAAAGATGACCAGTAAGGGGATCTCAACCCTTGGCTTGGTGTTGTCAGCACCACGCTCTCC